ATTACAGAGGTATGATAATGATCAAAATTAAGTATTCTTGCTTATATTCTAACTCTTATCCTTTTCACCACTAAATTTTTTTATCGTATAATTATATTTTAGTTTTATGATGATTGATTTATATTATAATATAAAATTATTTTGACTATTGAAATTTAAAAGAAAATATATTAAATTTAATATATAAATAACAAACATAATAAATTAAAATAGAGAAGAGATTAAGAAAAAAATTCTAAAAATAACATCATTAAAGATAAGTAATTAAAAACACTTTCACTGGAAAATAAACCCTGAAATACTTTTTTTCAAGAGAAATGTTCGTTCTATTTTCTATACATTCAAAAAGAGACATAGATTGATTTTATACCCATAATCATTCGTTGGAATACTATAATTATTAGATAAAATGTATATTTTCATTATGTATGACAACTTAAAAAGAAAATACAGTATTTTTGTGTCTATTTTTTTAAAAACATTTATATCATTGTGTTATACTTTAATTTTTGCTTTACTAGTGTATTTCTTAATGATGAAATAGGAAATAAATAAATTAAAATATAAATACTCATCTGGTTAATAATATTTTTTTTTTATTTTACAGACACGAAATGCATCTGTTAGTATCTACAATAATTTATATTCATTTTTCAAATTTTAAATACATATTCTTTATATTTAATGAGTATACTTTTTATTCAATATTAATCTTATTATTTTATTTTTATAACAACTGATTTGATGTGAAAAAGTTATAGTTCTTTATTAAATAAAAACATATTTTATATAGACTATAGACTACAATCTTTTTATAAAGAAAATAATTTAATCTACTAGGTTAGCCTAGTAGTTGGGTGAGGAGGGGTTGGGATGGTTAGAAGCATGAGAATTTAAGTTCAATTTTCAGCGCGACTATCTTTATAATCTTTCCTATCTTTACCAAAAAAGATAAAGAAAATAATTTTTTAAAAATAAAATTATTATTGACGATAAATTTTGTAATTTTAGACGAAATTTGTATATTAATTATATTATAATCGTGTTATCTTCCGTAATTTTAAAAATCTTTGTAGTTTTATATTGGTATTAATAAAAATGGTATTAAAGAAAGACGAAGCCATTTGTGTCCATTTCCATCTTTACTTTGGTCAGTTTTTGGGATTATTTGTCTTTCCTTTGCAAAACATGATAAATAAAAATAATCAGGATTCCTGACTCTTGTCTTGAGTATTCACAGATTATTTCACCTATTTTTATTCCTAATAATACGCTCTCTTTTTTATAAATTTTTTAATTTAATTATTTATATAATTTATTATTTAATATATTTTTATAAAATAAATGTATTTTTTGTTGTCTTTTATTTCACTATTAACTATTTTTCTCTTTTTAATCCACTAATAATGTTATATTATTCATTTTAATATTATAAAATTTAAATCATCTATTATATAAGATTTACTAATATTATATTATTTATTTTATGTTTTTACTATATTTTTTCATCTTATAAATATGAATTTTATTATTCAATATGTTGCTTATTATTCTATAAATATAAATATACAAAACAAAATAAATTAATATATTAATTAATATTTACTATATTATACTATTTATTTTATATTGTATGTTTATATTTGTTGGAAAAAAATATATTGAATAATAAATTATATTACTAATTTACTAAATTTTTATTTTTTTACAACTTTTTTATTATTTTTATTAAATGAAATCATTATTTATTATGTTAAATTTATAACAATTTTTAAAAGTAATTAACTTAAGCAATAATGTTATATATAATATAATATTCAATCTATGATCAAAGTAGTTAATAAGTGACTTACTTGTTGGGATATAAATAAGTTTTCACTTTTCATACAATTGTTGAGATACAAATAATGTTTCATATAATTGTTAAGATATAAAAAAAAGGTCCTACATCATTGAAACAAGAAGAAAAATATCAATTTATAAACATATACATACTTCATTAGTAGAGAAATCTTTTAAGAGATGACCAAAAGAAAAAACGTGAGAACTTTGATCTAAAACGAAAAATATCTCATTATTATAGACTTATACATATTCTCTATTGGTCAAGATAACTAAAAGTAAAATCATAAAGACTTAAATGTTATGTATAGTAAAAATTACAATTAATTAATTAAGGTCATGAGTTATTTTCTTCATAAGGTAAGTTTTAAAATAAATCTTATATTTTCTTGTCACATCAACACTACATCATTGGTTCATATTATTAGTGCCATAAAATTTTTAAAATTAGAGAATTAAAATTTAATGTATTGATTTTTTTTTGCTACTCATATTATTGGTACAAAAAATTAATTTTCATCATAGGAACTGCCTATCACTTCTAGTGAGTATTTTTTCTCAATCACATCTTTTTCATTCACAAAACTCAAATATGAAACATTATTTAAGCATATCGAGTTCAATTCTAATCAAAATAATTACTTTTAGCACCATGTATTATTTTCATGAGTTCTAAAGAAAAGATTTACATATGTTTTTAGCCTATAAAATTTAGGATAACTTTATTTTTTTAATCTTTTTCATTCACAAAACTCAAATATGAAACATTATTTAAGCATATCGAGTTCAATTCTAATCAAAATAATTACTTTTAGCACCATGTATTATTTTCATGAGTTCTAAAGAAAAGATTTACATATGTTTTTAGCCTATAAAATTTAGGATAACTTTATTTTTTTAAAAATTTAAAATTATTATTTTTAGTTCTATAATTTTTAAAATCTTTTTTTAATCTTTCAAATCATCAATAACATATTTGAAAGTAACATATTTAGATAGTTATACAATATCAATTAAGTTTAATGTGATATTTTTCCCATCTGAAATATTAATAGATAGATTTTATGCGACAATATTTGATAAATTTTTTAACAAAATTTAAAATAAAAACTATAAAAAAAATAATCTCTAAAAGAAATATGTTACTTCACTTTCAAGAATGATCACTGAAATTAATTATCACAAAGAGATGTAACATTCGCGAATGGGATTGTTCTTCAACCCAAGCTCTATTCATTTGAGATGTATAATATTGTAATTAAAAAGTAAAAATCATTGCAGTTATATTCTAACCATATTGGTCAACTTCTGAGGGCCTAGAAGTGTACCACCATATGCAGCAGGTAGTAACAAGAGCTTCTTTACCTTTCCAACATATGCCCTTTTTGTGAAGTTGTCATAATCATTGGCTTCAATAGCATCCAATATTTGCCTATATAACAATGATGATGCCGACACAGGCCACCTGCTAGCAGAGTTGAGCTCTGAAACCCCCTTTTCTGCCTCATCAAAAAACTTCCTTGCCCTCTTTATTTGTCCCTTCATGAATTTCTTCCATTTATCTGTAACTTTCCCACGGAAAATGTCTTCATCTGAAAGCCCAGCTTGTGCCAATTCATCTTGTGGGAGATACACTCTTCCTCTTGCAGCACTATAATCATCAAGAACAACTAGACCAAATTAGACAAACATAATTTGAATGACTTGCATAGTTAAAATCAAGACTCTAATTTTCAAGCATCATAACTTTAAACTAATCACAAATCATTGTAAATTTATCTTTTAAGATAATTATTATAAAAGTAAATAATTTATCATGCACAACTATAAAATATGTTATTAGATATGACCGTGTAAAGAAATACATTCTAATTAAATATTAAGGGAATGAACTAATTGTCTGTTTAAATCAAGTTTCTTTTTTATGTGTTTTTGTTGTTAATGTAATAATGTTGTTGTTTTATTCATTTCTTGGAATGTTGTGGTGTGAGACACCCTTGAGTCAAAGGTGTTAAATGTCATTTGTGTGAAAGAACATACTCTTCTCCAACATCTCTAAGTATGTTAGTAAGTTGATTTGCAATGCCTAGTGCCAATGCGCCACTATAAATGCTCTCTATTGGTGCCTTCGATTTTGGTGCTATCCCCATTACTGGAACACTCATAAGGCCTACTGTTCCAGCAACATAGTAGCAGTAAAGATAGAGCTCATCAAAGTTATTGTATCTTGACTTTCTCAGATCCATCCTCATCCCTTCTATCATGTCCTTGAAGGGCTGTTTCAAAGAGACAATCCAATGTCAATAGGGTCAGTTTTTACACGTAAAAAGAAGATTCAATCTAGTTTCATATTTTTGTTTAGTTAGAATTACTCCTCTATTTCATATAAGATCACCAATTTAATATTGCTCACTAATTTGAACATGTTATATCTAAAGGATAAAATCTAATTTAGAGGCAATTTGTATAAGTTCTTTTGACACTATTTTCTAATTAGAATTAAAATTTTATTTTAATAGTCTACATGAAACTTAACATAAATTGTTAAAGTAAAACTATAATTTTGATTCGAAAACACACATAAAAACAATTAAAGAACTTTGTGTAAATGTTGTCCTAAAATAATGTAATGCTCAATCCTAAAACAATTAATACCTGAATATCAATAGGGTACTTTGAGACGGTATGTGAGAGGGCAGCATCATACATATCATAGGGGTGACCTGCAAAAACATCAGTTAATCGTTCCTCCCACCTGTCCAAGGCAGTAGGTGTGATGTGTGAAGCATTTGGGCCATCCACTAGTTCATCAGTTCTTCTGCACCACACTGCAATGCACAGAGAATTGTCAAATTCCAAACAACTCACTTGAGAAGCTCAAGTAATAACATTGAGTGTAGTAATCTAATCACTCATACCATAAATGGCCCAAATGGCTTTCCTGCGCTCTGGAGTCATCAACTTTGTGCCTAGAATATACAGTTTTGAAGATGAGTCAAATCAGCAACGAAATATGCTATTAACAATTGAAATTTCAAATCCATTATTGATGAAAACAAAAGTGATACCTAAGTAAAATGTCTTGGCATACTCAGCACAAACTTCACCACAGCGATCATAAGCCGCATTCAATAGGTCTCCAATATTGGTGTAATCAACGTCTTTGACCAAATCCTGATATATCTTTGTAACCCTTTTTCTCTCTTTTATTAAAGCTGCTTGCTTCAGCACCACTTCATAGACCCTCTCCTCTGAGGATCTTGGAGGCTCAGCCACCACTGCACTGGAAAAAGAAGAAGCCCCTTTTTCAAAGCTGATTCCAGAAAACCTCTTTTGGGATCTTCCACTACTATTTCTCTTGTTGCATGTTAAACCCACCAAGGAGTTGGCGATCTCTTTGGGTCCACAACTCGCCCAAACTAGACCACCAGACATCTTAAGTAAAAGGCAATTTCTTCCACTGCAGAGTGCAGAGCCACAAGTGAAAGTGGACAATGTATATGGACAGTTGCCTTGTAATCCTGAACTTGATCACTTCTTTGTTTTTAATGCAAGATTTTCTTCTATTTCAGTCAATATATTTTCACAGCTAGTAACATTTTTTTGTAATACACTTATCCTCTTAACTGTTATGTTTTATTCGTAAAAATTTATTCAAAATTGTAAAACTAGGAAAAAGATATATTAAATAGGATGTGAAATTAACAAAATTTTGAGAATTTCAATAAATTTTAATCGATAGAAAGAAAAAAAAAATGTGTGTAAGAGAGCATATTCTTGGCATTTATCCAGACAAAATTTTCATTCCTTTTCTTTGATAGTGGCCCAGAAAAGGCTAGCTTTGTATGTGTATTTATGTGATCCTATATTTTGTTTTGCTTGCGCAATTGTAGAGAGATGGGTGGCTTTAATGTCTTTCAAATTGTTTTGTAAGCATTAATTGCATAGGTTACGTACATATGTATGTCCAGATTCAGAATCATGATATAAATTAAATTTCTTCATCTTCCATTTAAATGATGCCTTGTCAGTTGGGGTAGCATCCACAATTTTATTGTACTATTGAAATTTTTATTCATAAAAATGATGTCTTGGTAGATAGACTCGATTTTACTTGCTATATATTGTTTTCAAGAAAGGAAAAGAAAAGAAAAACATTGCAATAATACATTAAGAAGTTTTACTTATCCTTTTTAACTTGGTTAAATTACTTTCTGATATCTTTTTATTTAAATTACTCAATTTAATGATTCCATTCTTAAAATGTCCAATTTGATGATCTATTTTTTTAAAAAAGTTTAATGTTATTCTTTTTATACAGATTAATACTGTAATAAGAGGTTGATACTGCTAGATATGTATTCAATTTACACTTTGAGACATATTTTAAATGCCATCGATTATTCCTTATATCTACTTGTATAAGTAAAAAAATAATAATTTAAACATAAGTAAATTTTAACTAATTAACTTTATTTAATATTTTTAATCTAAAAATATCCAAAAGATAATAATAGGGATACTATGATTAAAGATATTTTAATAAATATAATATATATTTTATATAAAATTGTAATAATTAAATACATTTAATTATCTTCTTTAATTTGTATATAAAAAAAATTTATTCATAGGTCCAAAGGAAATATCATTTAGTTGCGGTATTAGTCATTAGTTGAAACACTTTTTAAACTATGTCCATAGAATAAAAAATCATTAATTCACTATGATATTTTTAGTTAACTAAATTTTAAAAATTATAATCTCTCATATTCTTATTATAAGGTACTTATAACAAAAATATGCATATTAATATAAGTAGTTATTTTAATTTTTTATTTTATAAAATAAAATTATGATGTATAAATTTTATCATTTTACTTGTCATTAAATTGTTATAAAAGGTGAAAATGTTGTTTCATATCATAACTTATGCATCAATATCAATAAAATTAATAAATGATAATCAAAGAGTTCAAGAGGTGAGAAAGAATATTTATTCTTTAATTTATTTTCTCATCATTCAATAATAAGAAACACATTCGCATAATATTTAATAAAAACAAAAGATGAAAATAAAATTAATTCTTTATATAGAAATGGTTAAATGTCTTTATATATATATATATATATAGAAGAATTGTTAAATATCTTGTAAACAGGACTATTATTTTTTTCTAAATTGTACCTTATAATAAGGATTAGAAGGGTAAGGATAATAAGTTAGAATTTTTTTTTTGCTAAATTATACTTTATGTCTTTTTATTTTTGTTAATTCGTAATTTTGTTTTATCTACTTTAAAATACAGATATATAATCTCCAATTTTTAAAAATATAAAATTTTAGTTCTCCTGTCAATTTGATTTTTGTTAATCATTAAATTTTGATATTGTTTAGTGATATGTCACTACTTAAATGACATGGTATTTAATAACATGATATATAAAAATAAAAATAAAAAGATAACATACAAAAAATTTTTTTTGTTTATATCTATTTTAATGAATGATTAGTATTAATTTTATTAATGAATCTTTGCATGTTCCTTTAGTATTTTTAATCTTCAAATGTCATATAACTTAATGTCATATCTCTTATGTATTAATAAATATTAAAACTTAACAATTAATAAATGTTAATTTGATGGAAGAATTAAAATTCTGTATTTTGAAAATTAAAGGACTAAATATTCTTATTTTAAAATATAGGAATTAAAATTGTATATTAACAAAATAGAAAGAAAAAATATAATTTGATTTTTTTAATTAATGGACATAGCTTAAACAACCAATTAAAGGTTAGTATGTGTATGTAAAAGATGACTAGTCAAGTACTGAATTTTAATGATCAAGAATTGTCGGCATTGTTAATCAATTAAAGATAATAGTTTGTAAAAATATTTAACATAAATGATGGCAATTATTATTAAAAAAAATTATTGTTTTCAGCAATTAATAAATCATTTAATGCTTATTAATTATTAGTTTTATCCTTCCTTTTAGATATGTTAGAGTATTGATGTGCATGAATCGTGAAAGAAATATTTTTTTCACACTACAACAAAATATACTTTTAGTGGCATTTAATATAATTTTTAGCGGTAATAAAAATTGTTACAAGATCTTTTACCGGCATTTTTACATTAGTCATTATATGCAGTGTCGCTAAAGCATTTAGTGGCAATTATTCAAAATGCAACCGGGATAGCTCTAGAAACACTCAGGCATGCTTTATCCACATTCTCTTCTGTGGGGTCAACATGCTTTGTATCTGAGCATGACTCTGTCTTCTCAAAAACTTGAGTTGTATCAATGTGTTGCCTGTTGAAAAATATCTGTATGTCAACTTTGGTTTTATGATGCTACACATTTCAAAGCTGATATTCACTAAAAGGCAAACAAACCATCAAAAGGTTTCTCTAATTTCCCTGTTTTGCCAGGTATTGATAATACTATTTCCATCTTCACGTTTAGGTGGGAAAAGAGTGGTCAACAAACCTAATTAACAAAATAAAATGCAAGGACAAAAGAAAATAAGATGCCTGACCTTTGAAGTTGGGCTTTTAGTACATTCACATATGCAAGAAGCTCTTCCTTCTCTTTCGTTGCTGCAGATTCTCTCTGAACAGCCTCCTTTATCCTAGCTTCAGCATTTGCTTCTGCCACCCTAACCTTTTCTTCCGCTCTTACTACAGCTGCTTCTAAGATCACATCATGCT